ACCCTGGCAGACGTGTTATTTTCCCAAAAAACAAGGTCTGTATCACTGAACCTCAGAAATATTCCAAACATTTGATCCTTCATCATTCTGGTGTCCAAGCTTATCTTCTTCAGCTCAGTTCTCGCGCCTTTAGCCGCCTCTGTTTTTTTGTATTTTTAAATTCCATCATGGGAAGCATAAGAGATGCTTATTTGGGGCCATGGAACCCTGACAGGGGGCACACAAAAGTGAAAGCTGCAAAGATCATAGTCTGCGTATTCCTTTCTTGGATCACTCAATTAGCTGGGACATTGCCCTCGAAATGAAACATCTGGATGGATAGGAATGAGGAAGCAAAGCATGATGCACACTCAAATCCCACATGAGCATCTCTGAGTCCGTGTATTAGCAGGGGTGAGGAACATATGTCCCTCCAGATGTTGTTGGATTCCAACTCACATCAGCCCTGGCTATGATCAGGGATGATGGGAATTGCAGTCTGGTAACATCTGGACCAGGGAGGCGGGTGGCGCTGTGGGTTGAACCACAGAGCCTAGGACTTGCCGATCAGAAGGTCGGCGATTCGAATCCCCACGACGGGGTGAGCTCCCGTTGCTCAGTCCCTGCTCCTGCCAACCTAGCAGTTCGAAAGCACGTCAAAGCGCAAGTAGATAAATAGGTACCGCTCCAGAGGGAAGGTAAATGGCGTTTCCGTGCGCTGCTCTGGTTCCCCAGAAGCGGCTTAGTCATGCTGGCCACATGACCCGGAAGCTGTACGCTGGCTCCCTCGGCCACTAAAGCGAGATGAGCGGCGCAACCCCAGAATCGGTCACAACTGGACCTAATGGTCAGGGGTCCCTTCACCTTTACCTTTAACATCTAGAGCAGGGGTCAGCAAACCTTTTCAGCAGGGGGCCTGGCCACTGTCCCTCAGACCATGTGGAGGGCCGAACTATATTTGGGGGGCTGATGCAAGAGCACCACGTCCCCCAGTGGCTGCTTGAGCGGCAGGGGCTGGCGGCGGCGGGGGGACGGGACGATGATGAGCAGCGCACAAAAGGGCTCCGGAGAGGGGCTGCTTAAAATGGCAGTCACTCGAGCGCTGCTACTGCTGGCACCAACAAAGACCCAGCCCCCTTCCTCCTCTAGGCAGGGCGGGGAGAAGCCAGGAGGAGGGAGGGAGGCGCCGCCGCCGCCACCACCGTGTGAGGGAGAGGGAAAGAACGCGCACTGGCGATCCATGTGGCAATTCCCAGACCATCCGCGGGCCAGATCCAGAAGGCAATTGGGCCTGATCCAGCCCATGGCCCTTAGTTTGCCTACTCATGATCTAGAGGGCCACAGGTTTCCCAAACCTTTTTGTAGATTTACAAAAAGAAAAAGACACACCAATAATTAAATTTTAGAAAGAGGCAAGAATAGACTTGAGGTAAACACGGGGGGGACGACGCCATAAATAATTCAGAACTTAGATCGTTATAGCACGAGGGGGGAAACCTCTGTGGAAAATCACGTTTAAAAATGTTCTGCTCTCTGGCACCATCTGATGTTAAATGCTTATAGTGCATTCAAATCGCTGTTTCTTTACTGATGTAGCTGAGTCCTTGGATGCACAAAGTATTTTTTTAAAAAAAAATCCAGAATCCTTGCATTGTGTTCTACTCCCCCTTTCTTCCCTCTGCCTGCCCCTCGGAGCCAGTCGCAGCCTCTGCCTCTCCTCTCTCCCTCTACAGCGGCCACTATGAGCTGCCCAAGGAAGGAGGCTGGCAGCGGCTGCCGTGGAGAAACCATGGAGAGGCAATGGGGTGCTCCCTTGCAGCTTCCACTGCCAACACCACTCAGGACAAGCGCCGGCTCACTCTCCTCCCTGAGCTTGGTGGCGCCAGCACTGGCTGGGGAAATAGGGGCATTCCAGGATCAAATCAGAAGCCGGGGTGGCTTTTGTAATTCCGGGACTGTCCCTGGAAAATAGGGACACTTGGCAGGTATGCTATTGTACTCAGAGAACATCTGTACCTATGCTCTCAATTCATCCACACAGGACTTGGTTGAATGGGTGGCGTATAAATGTTGGGAAATCTCTCCCAATAGCTGCTTAGCCACAATGGCTATGTTCCAGCTCTGCTCTCAAAGGCAGCCTGGCTTTGAATATCATGCTGACCATTGCAGGTGGGAAGAGTGCATAGCTGTCAACCGTCCCTTCTTTGGCTGGAAAGTCCCTTATCCCAGCGCCGTGTCCCTCTGCTGTCCCTTATTGATGATGTCCCTTAAATTTCCCGGGTTTCAAAGGAAGCAGCTCCTCTCCCTCCCTCCCTCCCTCCCTCCCTGCCGGCCAGGGAGGAGGGAGGCTCCAACTGTGTTGCTTGGCTGCCCGGCCCGCCCCCCTCCAGCCTTCTCTCACCAGCCTCAGCCCCCGGGACTGGCGGGAGACTCGGGCCCTTCCGCCGCCATCTTCCTCACAGCCGCCGAACTGAGCGTCTCTTCCTGGGGCCTCCCCTCTGCCCGTCGCCACCGCTCCCGCTAGGCCGTACTGTGGCTGCGCTGCCGAAGGACCCGGATGAGATGGGCAGCCTGGCACGGCCTATGAATTGCTGAGGAGCCTTGAGAGGCGAGCGAGGGCAACCATAGAGAAAGCAGTTCAGAGAGAGGAGGAGGAGGCGGACACGTGGGCAGGTGTTCCAAGGGCTAACCCTAGAGGGGGAAAGTGGAGGAAGAACCGCAAGCGCTTCTCCCATAGATTTGTAGTGGTAGACTAGCATAGCTGGTCTGATCTGCGGGTTTACTTCGGGCACTATTTCCCCCCCCTCCTCCCGCCCCGCCTGATGGAACTGAGGGCTGCAGATGGAGCACGAGAGAAAAGATACAGAACTGCAGCAGCATCTTCGTAGCTTGGACTTCGTTTTGCGCGGAAAGTGGTTGCTGCTTGTAGTTATTTAATTGCAGTGTTTCATCAGCTGGTGTCTTGAGCAGCAACCTCTGGAAACGAAGGGCTAAAAACCGGCACTGCTCTCCAAAATTATCTGGTCCCTTTTAACTTCGTATTTCAGCTGGTTGACTAAAATCCCTTATTTTGGCTGCTGATCCCTTATTTTCGAGGCTCCTGGTCCCTTATTTTCAAACCTGTAAGTTGACAGCTATGAGAGTGCTTTAGGTTCTGTTTGTTACCTTCCCAGAGCCTGAATAGGACCACAGTCTCTGCAACAAAGCTACATGAAGCCTGTCAGCTTTGATGATGCCTGCCAAATTCATCACAATGCCTTTCTTTTCATAGCTTCAGGGATGTAGCCACCTCCGGATGCTTTTTAATCCCCTGGTGGGCTACCTCATTCGGCTGGCAGGCTACGGACGGCTTTGTGGGTCACAATTTGTGCCGGTCTGGCAGGATAACGTAGGGTGCCTTATCTGCTACCCTTTTTCTTGATAGCACTGCTTTGCATGCAGGAATTTATCCCGTCCATGTAGGAAAACAATCAGCATGCTGCCTGTGCAGCAATATCATAGAATCATAGAATCATAGAGTTGGAAGAGACCACAAGGGCCATCGAGTCCAACCCCCTGCCAAGCAGGAAACACCATCAGAGCACTCCTGACATATGGTTGTCAAGCCTCTGCTTAAAGACCTCCAAAGAAGGAGACTCCACCACACTCCTTGGCAGCAAATTCCACTGTCGAACAGCTCTTACTGTCAGGAAGTTCTTCCTAATGTTTAGGTGGAATCTTCTTTCTTGTAGTTTGGATCCATTGCTCCGTGTCCGCTTCTCTGGAGCAGCAGAAAACAACCTTTCTCCCTCCTCTATGTGACATCCTTTTATATATTTGAACATGGCTATCATATCACCCCTTAACCTTCTCTTCTCCAGGCTAAACATGCCCAGCTCCCTTAGCCGTTCCTCATAAGGCATCGTTTCCAGGCCTTTGACCATTTTGGTTGCCCTCCTCTGGACACGTTCAATATGTATGACAGACACAAGCGGAAGCTGAGAGATGTATGTGCTTCTCTTACATGTGAAACGAGATGCCCATGGAAATGATATCTGTGTAGCAAACCATCAGATGTGAACAGCAAAGCAGAAGATCTGCCCTTCTGTAAGCGCTGGGAAGAAAGCATTTGGGGGAAGGCTAGCTCAGTGCTAGTGCTTTTTGTGTTTTGCATGCAAAAGATCCACAGTTCAGTCCCCAGCGCCTCCAGGATGTGGTCCGAAACCCTGGAAAGCCACTGCCTGTCAGAGTAGACAATAATAAGCTGGGTGGACTAGTGGTCTGGCTGAATGTAATGCTTCTATGCTCAATGCAACAATATAGGATCACCTATATATGATTTAGGTATCCTGTCTCTCATGTGAACAAATACCCATGGATCTCAGGTTTTCTGGCTTGGAGCAACACACACACACACACACACACACACACACACGGCTGCTGTTCTGTGCAAATCTGGTAGATTGAGAAACTTGTACTTAAAAATAAATAAATAAAGGTGTGTGCAGCGGCGGAGCAAGCCTATTGGGCGCCTGGGGTGGCGCGCATGCCCTGTGCCCAGAGGTGGGGCCAGCCGGGGCAGGACGCTCCTTGGGGCCTCGGAGGAGTCTGCCTGCCTCTTCCCACTCAGCCGCCCTACAGCTGAGGGGGAGGTGGCAGGCAGACCATTTGGGGCAGCGCAGAGCCTGCGGGCGCCCAAGCCACCTCGTCATTCCCAGGAGAGACAAGTGACTCAGGCACACTGCAGGCCCGTAGTGAGTGCCGTCTGGCATTTTGTCAAACCCCCCCCCAGTGGTGACACCCGGGGCGGCCTGCCTCCACCACACACCCCTTCCTCTGCCCTGGTTGTGTGCCAGTGGGCATGCGCATAATGACCTCAAACAAAGCCAGCCCGCCCATGAACTGGCATGAAGTGCTGCCTCAGGCAGCAGGAGCCCCTGAGGCAGCACCCTCATGGTTGCCGCCTGCCATGCCCCCACCTCTGCCAGAGAAGCAGTGCCAATATAGGTGCTGATTTAGGTACCAGTATAGGTGCCTGTGTTCTGGCTAGGCCTGTGTGTGTATATATATATATATATATATATATATATATATATATATACACACACACACACACACACACACAGTGGTACCTCGGGTTAAGTACTTAATTCATTCCGGAGGTCCGTTCTTAACCTGAAACTGTTCTTAACCTGAAGCACTATTTCAGCTAATGGGGTCTCCCACTGCCGCCGTGCCGCCGGAGCACGATTTCTGTTCTCATCCTGAAGCAAAGTTCTTAACCCAAGGTACTATTTCTGGGTTAGCGGAGTCTGTAAACTGAAGCGTATGTAACCTGAAGCGTATGTAACCCGAGGTACCACTGTATACACACACACACACACACACACACACAGTGGTACCTCGGGTTACATACGAAATGCATTCGCGCAAAAGACCAGTATTGAAAACAAAGCATTTCCCTTGCAGTTTTAGAGCTTGCCTTCGGGGATCATTCTATGCAAAAACATCACCCGGAGACAGAATTCCCGTTCCAATTTGGCTCAGAAAGTGTTATCCCTTTTGTACTAAATATAGAGGTGTGTGTGTGTGTGTGTGTGTGTGTGTGTGCAATACACACACTTGCAGCTTGAGCCTTTACCATACAAGGGGACAAGGAGGTGTAACACCATTATCGTGTTTGCTTTCTCGGTGGAAACTAGATTGTGTTAGAAACTCCTTTGATGCCAACAGCCATACATAGCCATGCCTTCAACCTCTCTGCTGTGGGAAATAATAAATTTAGAGAATCTCATTTAAAGAGTCTCTTTACATCATATATAGTTTCCTTTAAAAAAACACACACACACAAGATACATATGCAAAGTACTTTTCATGCATGTGCTGACTTTGCAGTTTAAAAAAGAGGGGTTGGGGGAATCTAGAAAACAAATTTATGGAGAAACTTGAATTTATCGAGAAACTAGAAGGGCCTTCTCGGTAGTGGCGCCCACCCCATGGAACATCCTCCCATCAGGTGTCAAGCAGATAAACTGCAGATAAATCTGACTTTTAGAAGACATCTGAAGGCAGCCCTGTTTAGGGAAGTTTTTAATATTTGATGTTTTATCGTGTTTTTAATATTCTGTTGGGAGCTGCTAGAGGGGCTGGGGAGGCTCGGCCAGATAGACGGGGTATAAATTTATTATTATTATTATTATTATTATTATTATTATTATTACTTCTACAGGTGGTGCTAGGTGTCCTCTGCCTTTGAGCTCTTTGCTCTCCTACTTTTAAGGCTTGCCGGGTTCTGGGAGGTGGAGGGTCTGGAATGCTTTCTAGTGACACCGTGTCAGGTGGGTGTTGTCCCAGCTTTCTCAGCACTTCCCAGCTTTTCCCCTCATCTGCCTCTGAGCTGTGACCTTCCTCAAACCCCTGTTGTAAATCTATATTATCTTCCTCTTCCTCCTCCCTGGAAGGGTCAGGATGGGGAGGCAGTCTCCCCCATTCCTCCTCTGCCCAGTCCCTGACCCCTGTTCATAGAACCTGCCTTATACAAAAGCATTCTGGTGCATTTATTTCAGTACTGTCTGCACACAGAATGGCAGCGACTCTCTGGGGTTCCCTAGCCGTACCTGGAAGGATTGAACCTGGAACCTCTTGCAAATGCTCTACTCTTGAGCTATGTATAGAGATAGGGCAGAAATTGGATCCATTTGCATTTAAAGGTGGATCTAGCAAATCTGCACTTTCTGAAGCCATATGGGAACAGATACACAGCTAGCCTTCAAAATTCACATAGGATTGTGCCACAGCTCTTCTCACTTTCTTAATAAAATCTGGTGAAGGGGGCAATGGTAAGAATTGCTGTTGAAGCAATTTGTCAAAACAAATTGTTGTTTCACCAGAAAACTGTTCATCCTTTTCCCCCCTCCTGCTCTTCACATCCTAGGCTCTTTTTGATGCTTTAAACCAGGGTTTCCCAACAGCTGGGTCTCCAGCTGTTTTTGGACTACAATTCCCATCTTCCCTGACCACTGGTCCTGCTAGCTAGGGATGATGGGAGTTGTAGTCCAACAATGGTGGGAGACCCAAGTTTGGGAAACCTTGCTTTAGATGGTTTCAGACTGCAAACTTAAAATGTACAACACCAAGCTTATTTGGGTTGCTTTTCTAATCCTCTACATCTTTTTACCTGACCTTACTTCCAAGTAAGGCTGCATCCTCAAGAAATCATACGTGACAATAATTACACCGAAATACCTAGGAATGTTTAGGGCTCCCACCAATGATGGCCAACCCTCCCAATTAGTTAGCAGCAAATTGTTAAGAAAAGCAGCACTATCTTCCCCTTTGACACATGAAGAAGTTCAAGTATTTGTAATGGTTTTTGTAGACATCTTTGTATATGCAATTAGTGCCGAAGTGGAATAACAAAAGGCTTCCCACCGCCCCAGTTAAGTTTCTATGCCTGTGCCAGAACAGCTTTGAATCACATTATACATAGCACACAGGTCTCTTCTGTAGCCTTTATAAATCACATATGCTTGGCTCTCGGTCACCGCTCTGCCCAAGTTTTCAAACCAGAGCTTATAATATTTCTTTGAGATGAGAAGTGGCTAAAACAAAATAGTAGCATGCTCAATATCAAATGAAGAGTGACACTTTAAGCACAGGATGCCACCAAAGCCCTCAAAGAACAAAGCCCACACAGCTTGAGGTGGTAATTCACAGATTTCTCACAACTTCACAATACACAGGTTCAATATAACCAGGAAAAAATGAATCATTTATTCAAATTACTTTGTCCACACATCTTTCCTATACTACGGGAACTCTCAAAATAATATGCCCCTAATGATGTTCAGAATGGGAATTTTTCAGCTGAGTCCCTGTATACCTAAACAGGAAATTCTTTGCTGCTCTGACTTTTGAAAAAACACCCGCAGCAGTCTTAACACTTCTGAATTTCTTTAGGAAGTCGTTTCGTGACTGGAATCAGTAAGGAAGGGCACATTCGCCATGCTGTTAGGTGCAACGTTAGCACAGAACCTCACCAACCTAGTGCCCTCTGGGAGAGTGGGGCTACACTTTCCATCAGTCCCAGACAACAGAGTCATGTTCACTGGGGGCAGATGAGAACTGCAATCCAAAACAGCTGGAGCACACCAGGTTGGCAATTGCTGTTTTAGCACAACAGCCTCCTCCTCCTCTTTGCAAAGCAAGAAGTGCTCTCTAAAGGAGGCTATTTCCAGCAAGGAAGTGAGTTGTTAACCAGTTGGTTTTCTCCAGAAATTCACCTCCACCCTCCCTGCAAAGTGATCTTTCTCTCTGTGGGGTTTGGAACCGCCAGAACAAGAGAAGAGAGATCAGTGGAAATTCAACCACTTAGCAGACAAGTGTTTCAGTACAGTGCTGCTACTCTCCTGAACGGCTATATTTGTAAGGACGTTGTATTATGATCATGGTCCCAATATGCCCAGTAAAGGGACGCGGGTGGTTCAGTGGGTTAAACCACAGAGCCTAGAGTTTGCCGAGCAGAAGGTTGGCAGTTCGAATCCCCATAACGGGGTGAGCTCCCGTTGCTGGGTCCCAGCTCCTGCCAACCTAGCAGTTCGAAAGCACATCAGAGTGCAAGTAGCTAAATAGGCTACTTGCCTACCGTCCCAGCGGGAAGGTAAACAGCGTTTCCGTGCGCTGCTCTGGTTCCCCAGAAGCAGATTAGTCATGCTGGCCACATGCTCGGCCAATAAAGCGAGATTAGCGCCGCAACCCCAGAGACGGTCACGACTGGACCTAATGGTCAGGGGTCCCTTTACCTTTATGCCCAATAAACCATAAGATTCCTTTAACTCTGATCTTCTTAATGACAATGTGGCATATGAGCAAGGCCAAAGATTTAAGAGCATGGAAGACTTTTACAGATCTCCTAGAAAGACAACACACAAACTTAAAACTGTGGACATTTCTGTGGTGGGAATGTAGAGAAGTTTAAAAATTCTGGGAAATGATATATAATGAATTGAAAAAAATGTTCAGAATGACATTTGTAAAACAAAACCAGAAGCATTTTTGTTAGGGATTTTAGGACAAGGCCTGCCAAGAAAAACAAAGAAATTATTTATGTATGCTACAACAGCGGCAAGAGTCTTGTTAGCACAAGGATGGAAGAATGAGGAAATCCGAATGAAAGAACAGTGGCAAGAAAAATTGATGAGCTATGCAGAATTGGCTAAATTGACATACAAACTGTGTGAGAAGGACAATCACGACTTCAAGGAAGATTGGGAACTTTTTACAAATTACCTAAAAAGACAACAAAATGATTTGGACTCCTTGGCAGGTTTTGAATAAACATCCACAAATTTATTGGTTGAACATATGATAGATATGGCAAAGATATGTAGAGTTTTATAACAAGCAGAGAATAATATGTGCAAAGAAATCAGAGGGGGGAGCTGACAGAAGTCTGTGGGGGGGAGTGGGAGGGATGGGGGGAAAGGGGGAAAATAATGTAATTGATTATTTGGATTGATAACTTGTTCTATTGAAATGGTTTAATAAAAATATTTTTTAAAAAAACAATCTGTGGACATTTCTTACCATCAGCTGTACAGGTGAAACACACAGATAGGAAAACAGATTTTGAAAATATATGCAAATATGTAAGTGATCATTAAATCTGATACCATGGGATATCCGTTTTCCACATTCTGCTGGGAAACTTGAGTATGTTAATATGATTTATAGCAGGGATCGACAACTAGAGACCTCAGGACCAAATCCTGTGTTGCCTAACCCACTCACCACCTATGAGAGGCAGTGTGGTGTACTGATCCAAGGAGGCCACTTAGCTACAAAACTCACTGGGTGACCTTGAGCCAAGCATTGTTTCTGGGAGTTGCAGTCCAAAAGCATCAGGAGGGCAACGCCTTGGCTGCCCCCGTTTTAACCTCACAAGAAGTCTATGAATTAAGAGGAAATGGATGCTTTAGCTGAGATTCCTGCATTGCAGAGGGTTGGACTAGATGACCTTTGGGTGCCTTCCAACTTTATGATTCTCCCAAGATCACTCAGTGAGCTTCATGGCTAAATTGGGATTTGAACCTTCGTCTCCCTAATCTTAGTCTGAGGACTTATTATTTGCACAAGGATGTGTAATCCTACAGCCAGAAGAGTCTCTCTGTCTCTTGCTTTCCCCTTCCCCATGTTTCAGATTTCCACGGAGGGGCATTGTGACATGTCTCAGCTAACAGGAAACTTTGGGCTGATGTTCTCCAGGCCTTTAGAGCTGACAAGCGGGAAAGGCTCCTGGTCTGTGGAAGGAGAGGGTGGAGTTTAGCAGTGACTGATGGGAAAGACACAAGTGGGTTTTAAAAAATAAATAAACCAGGGAGACTGCCTTCAGAATGCTCCATTATCAAAACCCTGTTCACTGTAGACACTAGACAAGCAGTGGGCAGACAAACTATCTCAAGCAAGAAAGGGTTTTCTACCAGCAGCTGGAACTAAATCTAGGACTCTTCTGCTTGGACAGTTTACAAGGTAAAGATCTATTTCAAGTCGGTTTAGAATGAACACAAGCTTTTACTAGAAAACCAGAGGATGTCTCTTTTTAATTGATTCTTATTAAAAACGTGTGTTTTTTAGAAGTCCCTTTGATTTCAATGAAATCTTCCTTGGAATTTATTTCACCGAATGAAATAGGAATTGATTTGATTCTGCATAATGTGTTTCAAGTCAAGGTGAAGTACGGTAATTAAGGAACATCCCCGTAAACATGTTTTAAATAGTGCAGTCAAGGGTCTTGCCCCATACTAAAAACCAGTTCTGATTTATTCTTACTTTGGGTTTTCATACTTTTACTGATTTATTTATGGGATCCTTTTTGTGACCCATCTTGAGTGTCTCATAAATTTTCCCAAGAAAGAGCAGCAGTTAGATACACCCACATGCAATCAATATACCTTAACAGGTATGGGGATGTGACTATGTGATGAGAAAAGAGGAGGAATTTAAATGCAAGTCACTCCTGAGCGGACATATGTTAACAAATAACCCATCACACACTGCTTTCCCTGGATGGGCCACAATCCTATCTGCACATTTGCCAAGGAATGAGTCCTGTTGAGCTCAGTGGGACTTACTTCTGAATAGGCATGTTAATAGGATCACGTGCTGTGAATCAACCCACTACCTATACCTTAACCAAAATATTATTTTCCTGATGTTTGGGTGGCTTGTGATATTTCCCTTTAACAAAGATTGTTGACAGAGATTCCCCAGAAACTGCGCCCATCGTGTATGGGTATAGCCAGGGGTCATTCAATTAAATAAATAAAAATACTTAACTAAAAGTAGAAATTGTAGAAATATTTTGATAGATGTTTCTGAGCATGGGGGGGAGGGGCAAAAGAAAGTAATTTTAAACAACTCTTGTTGAGACATTTCATTCTGAATCTGCTAGCCAGAGCCAGGCAGAAGTTGATGACAGGTGGGTGCCCTGCCCCCCACCAACATAAATCCTGGCAATGCCCATGACGTCGTGGTTCACCCTTGAGTTTAGAATACCCCCCCCCCCAATTAAAATTGGAGCGATTAGTTCAATGGGAGCAGAAGAGACCCTCGCTTTTCCGCAGCTTGCTGTTTTCATTTGCACCTAACCTGGCTGTGCGCCCGGGAAAAGATCAAAGCGGAGCGTAAAGATATAGTAAAGAGGCTTGGCAGGGTTTTTACCCCGCAAATCACGCTTGCTTGGCTAGGGGGCGTGTGTGTTTTCCTCTTCTCCTTTTCCCCTCCCACTTATCCCTGGGTTTCCCGACGGCGCACAGCCCTGCGCTCAACAGACGGCCGGGCTGCTTCGCCGCCTGGTGCGCTCAGGGTGGGCGCACGTGTTTGGGGCTGCCTGGGATTGGCCGCGACGGGGATCCGGCGGGCGCTGCCACCTGGCGGGCTTGCTGATCCCGTATCCGGAAGCTTTCTCTCTCTCTCCCGTCCTTTTAGACCCAAGGCGGCGGCGTGCGCACCAGTCTCCTCGGGCAGCGGTCATGGGTAGGCGCAGCGCCTGGGAGCTGTGGGTCCTGGCGCTCTTCTTGCTCCGCTTCGGCGCAGCGCTGGAGCCCAGCAGCGCCTCTCCGGCGCGCCTCGAGGGGGAGGCCGGGCGCAGCAGCCCCGCCGCTGGCGCTGGGGAGAGCAGCGTCGCCCCGATCGCCGCCGGAGAGCAGCTGGAGGAAGAGGACACCGGTAGCTCCAACCTCTCCAAAGTGGTGGCGCCCGGGAAGGGCGACCGAGGGTCGTACCCGCCGTGCGCTAGGAAGACGGACATCGCCGAGGCGTTCAAGTATATCAACACGGTGGTGGCTTGCGCCGTCTTCGTGCTGGGCATCATCGGCAACTCCACGCTGCTGCGGATCATCTACAAGAACAAATGCATGAGGAACGGCCCCAACATCCTCATCGCCAGCCTGGCGCTGGGAGACCTGCTGCTCATCATCATCGACATCCCCATCAATTTGTACAAGGTAAGCGGCGGCAGACAGCAAGGCGCGCGGTTGGTGGCGTGGGAGCAGCAGAGCGGCAGACCTAAGCAGGAGGACTCCGGCGACTTCTTCTTGTTTCCTTTCTCTCCCCCTCACCCCCGAAATTTTTATTAAAGTTTTAAGTAGACAATAGAATTATATCTAGAACCAGTGCTTTCCCCAAATTGGGAAAAATAAATACAGTAAATGGACAAAAGTACAAAGTTTCACAAAATGTTTAGGGATATGCATACCCCCAGAAAAAAGCACTGTCTAGAACAAATGAAGTCAGAAATAGAAAGAAAGAAAGGAAAGGAAAGGAAAGGAAAGGAAAGGAAAGGAAAAAAGGGGGGGAAATCGTTCCAGTTCCTTATAGACCAATTATGTTTGTTATTGGTATGAGCTTTCGTGTGCATGCACACTCCTCTAAGGTGCTACTGGAAAGAAAAAAAGAAAAGAGAGGGAAAAGACGATAGATAGATCTATCTCCCTCTCCCTCTATTCTATTTACAGTGGTACCTCAGGTTACAGACGCTTCAGGTTACATACGCTTCAGGTTACAGACTCCGCTAACCCAGAAATATTGCTTCAGGTTAAGAACTTTGCTTCAGGATGAGAACAGAAATCGTGCTCCAGCGGCGCGGCAGCAGCGGGAGGCCCCATTAGCTAAAGTGGTGCTTCAGGTTAAGAACAGTTTCAGGTTAAGTACGGACCTCCAGAACGAATTAAGTACTTAACCTGAGGTACCACTGTATACTCTAATCTTCAGTCCACATACAAAGAAGTGAGTCTGCCCGCCCAACCAGGGACGTTTTCCTCTTAGCCTCACATCCTCAGAAAAGCCCACTCTTGCCTGTCTCCCACACAGGCTCCTCTCTTCTAACCATCACCCCTCTCTCTGTATGTAGCTTCATTTATGCAAAGGACATTAATAAGAGAGCTACCAGAAATTAGCAATCATAAAAACGTTGTTGATTCCTTTTGAGGATGCTGGGCTTTAATTTGAAATCGCTCTGTAATCTGAGTTTGAGGGACTTGGGTGGTAATAAAGAGGTGGCCTCTGAGGATGTGCAGAGTACATCACAGGCCTTACTCATTAATGGTGGCCGACCCATGCATGCTTGCCGTTGAAAGGGCAGAGCTTCTCGGGCGGAGAATTGCGGAGTTTACGCACAGGATCCTTGCATCCATTAAAACAGAGGAGTGGTTTAAGTAGAATTAACAGTGCAGTCCTGTACATGCTTATTCTGAAGAAAGTTCCACCGTATTCACTGAGGCTTACATCCCAGAATTGCAGCCTAAGTCTTCTAAACAGTCTCGGTCGTAAAATGTTAAAGCTCTAAAAAGAACCTACATTGCTGCTAAGGGTTGCAAGTGGCTCAAAATTAAAATGAGTAAACAGCCATTTGTGGGGGGTTTTGAACAATTGATTTGTCAAAATTTATCTTTTGTGCCATGAAAATAAATAAAAACAGTATTAATTTTTAAAAAACAAAAAAGGGTTTTTACAGTGAGAGGTGCTACTCAAGAGCACTCAAAAGGTTATACACTCTGCCCTGGAAACTCTTTTGTCTAATAACGGATAGGCTGGGGTTGGCAGCACTTAGTAGTGAGAGAAAGGAACTCTGCACACGGTCAGAGGCATTATCTACTTTATCATCTCTTCAGGAGTTCTAGGTCTGAACCCTTCTGTTGAAACCTGGTTTCTGAGTCTTGGTAAGAACTGCTTGTTTTGGGCTGCAATCCTGTGCACACTTTCTTTGGTGTAAGTCCCATTACACTCAGTAGGGCTTGCCTCTGAGTAAATGGGTGCTGGTATGAATTGTCATGAGAACTGGGGTGCGCTTCATGAGGTGTGCAGAAACATTCACTCAGCCGGGAGAAAGATGAGTGTATAATTCTTTGTAATCACTGGGTCTTAAAGAGTGCTTAACTCTGGTTGGATTTCATTCACATTGTACTGTATTTCACACTATGCAAAACAAAACTGAGGAACTTTCTGCTGTGATATTGAATAACACGAATATTCATATTGAGGATTTATTACAGGGCAGAGGATATATTTAAGAGCCTTGAATTTAAAAAAGTAGACAAATTCATGAAAGACGGAAACATCACTGAATAATGTCTCAAAAACTCAAATTCCCCTGGAGTTTAGACGGCAGTCCTAATCCCATTTATTCTAGAGTAAGCCCCATTGTGGGACGCGGGTGGCGCTGTGGGTTAAACCTTAGAGCCTAGGGCTTGCCAATCAGAAGGTTGGCGGTTCGAATCCCCACAACGGGGTGAGCTCCCGTTGCTTGGTCCCTGCTCCTGCCAACCTAGCAGTTTGAAAGCACGTCAAAGTGCAAGTAGATAAATAGGTACCGCTCCAGCGGGAAGGTAAACGGTGTTTCCGTGCTCTGCTGGCCACATGACCTGGAAGCTGTACGCTGGCTCCCTCAGCCAATAAAGCGAGATGAGCGCCGCAACCCCAGAGTCAGCCACGACTGGACCTAATGGTCAGGGGTCGTTTTACCTTTACCTTTAAGCCCCTTTGCATTCTGTTAAACTTACTTCTGAGGAGATATGGTTAGGATTACACTGTTACGAGATATACACAGGCTTATCTGATACCCCAGGCAATGAAGGTGATCTGCTGAGACTGGACTGCCCATAATAATAATAATAATAATAATAATAATTTATTATTTATACCCCGCCCATCTGGCTGGGCCTCCCCAGCCACTCTGGGCGGCTTCCCAAAAAATATTAAAATGCTATAATACATCAAACATTAAAAGCTTCCCTAAACAGGGCTGCCTTCAGATGTCTTCTAAAAGTCTGGTAGTTGTTGTTCTCTTTGACATCTGGTGGGAGGACGTTCCACAGGGAGTATTTGAAGATATTTGAATATGAATAATAGGGCAGGGGTCGGCTTCATGCTAGGGTCCCCGGCTGGGGTCTTGGGGAGAGGCAGCAAACCTTGAGGCATGTGGCTTGGCTCACTCGCTTGAGTCAGTCATGGCCTCTGCAATTTTGACAAGTTTGACAAGGGCGAGAGCTACGTTTGGGCAATCCTGGTTTGTGGAAGTTGCGTTTTATCAATCTTTTTTATGAGGTCCCATTGAGGTTCAGTTTGGCTGATGGTAGGATATATGACGCTGATGCACTGACCATTGGTTTGGCCCACCATTGCCCCATAGTATTTGAAATCAACTGAGCCACCATGATACTAATCACATTCCTTGACCAACAACTCTTTGGCCATTTCCTTCCGAAGTCCGTCCCATTCTCAGCTGGTGTCATTGGACAGTTTGGTTGACTCACGTCTTGCTGGGACAGAACAGATCCTCAGTACGTGTGCAAAGGAAGTGTCACTGACCACAGTGACCATCCCAGCCACAATTCAAAGCTTGCCAGTTTTGTTCATGCTCCCAGCCCTTCCCACATTTGACAGAGGTTTAATGCACACCCAAAAAAGCCTTAATGGGGGCTTCCTGAACAACAGCATCCTATTTCCTAAACCAATCCTGAAACTATTTCAGTAGTTGCCCTTGTAGTTTCTTTTGCAGTTGTTGAATTCCCAGAAATAAAGTCCGTTTCGCTTGCTAGCTGATGCTTAGTGTTGTTTGTCAAATAAAAACAAACGCTCCCATTGTCACAGATATATGCAGATCTGTTTGACTCCGCATGTTGAATTTCCTGTACAAAAGCAGCAAGAGCTCAGAATTGCTTTGCTCACAAATTCCACCCCCCTTGGCTTCCATCGCTGCAAAGCTCATTCAGCGCTCTCAGAAAAGCAGCGTCATCATTCGTTCATGCAGTTTTCTAGGGCAGTGACTAAGGAGAGGGGGACCTGCCACGTGGAGAGAGCGAGGAAGAACTTCTCATAGAACAGTGTCGTGGGGTTGAAAGGGACCTCGAGGGTCATCTAGTCCAACCCCCTGCTGGTGCAGGCCATTTGCTGCCACAGCATCCGTCTCAAGTAACCTAGCATCCTTTGACTTCTGGGGTGTCAGCAACACTTCACACTGACTAGGGTGCTCCACATTCCATTCAGTGCAACGTTTTTACAGTCGTACCCATTCTGGAAGTCTGTTACAACTTCCAGAACGTTCGGAAGCCAAAGCATGGCTTCTGATTGGCTGTAGGAAGCTCCTGCAGCCAATCAGAAGGCGTGGAAGCGCCATTGGACGTTCGGTCAGAACACTCACTTCCAGGTTTCCATCGTTCAGGAGCCGAAATGTAGGAGTACCAAAGTGTTCGACAACCAAGGTACAACTGTATTTTTTTAGTACAGTAAGTAAATGTATAGTCAGACGTTGGCAGAATTGGAGGAAAGTGCCACAAAATGCTTTTGTGTTTCTCCTGGATGATGTTTTAGAGGAGTAGAGATCAAATACAGATTACCATTTCTACCATGCTGTAATTTACCGGTAAACCCATTTCCTGCATTATTGCAAAGTGGTGATAATTTTTAAAATATTTCTGCACCAGAGATGGGAATTCCTTTTTTTATTATTATTATTCAAGCCCAGGGGTTCCCTTATAGACAATTTCCCAAGGGCCACATATTAGTGTTGGGCAGGGAGAGACAGAGGCAGAAGTGGACAGACGGAACAAACATTACAAGAAAGGAGATTCCGACTGAACATCAGGAAGAACTTTCTGATGGTGTAAGCTGCTAGACATTGGAATGGACTTCCTTGGAAGGTGGTGGACTCTCCTTCATTGGAGGGTTTTAAGCAGAGATTGGATGGCCATCACTTAACTCAGGCAGCGCAGAGCCAATGAGAGACATGGCCTTGGAGAAGGAGCAGAGACTGGGAATAATCCCAGGCTGGATAGAGGGGGGGCCCTGAGGTTTACATCCCCTCTTCTGCAGCATACAATAGGAATGGGGAACAGTGACCCTTCAGGGGCTGTTAGACTACAACTCCCATCATCCCTTCTATTGGCAAAAGCTAATTGAATTTCCATGAATTTTTATGAGTCTGCTTCTTTTTGATGTTGCCCTCCAGTCTTCATTCACAGACCGATCCGGATGTGAGATTATCATGAGTGCTTTCAGCTGAGACCGCTGTATTAATTTAATCAGTTATCTTGGGGAGACTCAGAATAGATTCACACACACCCCTTTCTTTTCACATTGGTACCTCGGGTTACATACACTTCAGGCTACATACGCTTCAGGTTACATACTCCACTAACCCAGAAATAGTACCTCGGGTTAAGAACTTTGCTTCAGGATGAGAACAGAAATTGTGCTCCAGCAGCGCAGCAGCAGCAGGAGGCCCCATTAGCTAAAGTGGTGCTTCAGGTTAAGAACAGTTTCAGGTTAAGAATGGACCTCCGGAACGAATTAAGTACTTAACCCGAGGTTCCACTGTACTCATTATAATAACTTCTGGGCATCCCTATTTCAGAATATGGTAGAGTATCGCAGTGTGTGCAGACCATTCCTGTTATCCTCTCTGACCAGTTCTGAACCGATTTGCTAAATTCAACCTTTTATTCATGATATACATCAAACCTCAGCAATATCTCTTTAAATGAGCACTTCACAGCTTTGAAAGGTATACACACAAAATGAATTCAAACAGGATAGTTAGAAGCCTATGTTTTTCAAAGCACATCTATCAGGAATGGAAGTTTACTCCAGACTGGATTTCTTATGGCTCCCTGTTAGGTTGGAAATCATGTGTTTGCAGCTACATAAAGTGTGAAGCTATGCTTGTTTGCAGTGGCTTCATGGTTATTATCCAGTGCTCTTAAATCTTTCTGTATCCCTTATCTGCATATCACTCCACACAAGCTTATCTTTTATCATCCCCTTCTGTCTCCTTCTCCCACTCCTGTCTCCATGCTTTTGCCCTTTGCCTTTTAACAGCTTCCCACTTCTCTGTGTCCATCAAAACCCTTCCTTCTTCTTCCCAAGTTCCATATTTTCAGCACAGTATTTCTAACACTGCCTTAGCCTCTTCCTTTCTTCTGTTTCACTGCTGCCAAGCTTCTTCCCTATCCCATCCTCTCTAGGATTTGCCAAGTTTCAGTGCCTGGCTCCTTTTCCAGCTTGAAATAATTTTCTTTAAAAAAAATATTATTAGATTTTCCATAATAATAACATAAACCACAAAGCAGAATAATACACAAAAACAGAAAAAAGAAAAGAAAAATACATCAGTGAACGGGGGGAAAAGGAACAATAAACAGATAAACAATAACAACTAACTCAATTCTTTACACATCCAACCTTTTAAACATCTTGGTTGACTTCTTCTAGTCCCTCCCTTCTGAGTTTCCTTGTAGTTGAAAGTAACAGCTTTCAAATATCTTTATTAAACTAAAACAATTTCCAATTATAGTCCATCTTATTCACATTTCTTAATATTCTAAATCCCGTTTATTTAATTATAACTTAGTTTAATCCTAGGCCTATTTGTTTCTTTCAAGTAATTTCTAATTTTTTATATTACAGTATTTATTCAAATAGTCCTTAAATTTCCTCCAGTCCTCTTGAAACTCCTTTCTGGTCGCAGATTCTTCCAGTCAGATCAGCTAGCTCCAAAAAGTCCATCATCTTCATCTGCCAATCTTCCACTGTTGGTAATTCTTGTGTTTTCCAATTTTTAGCAAGTCATATTTGGGTCGCCGTTGTGGCATACAAAAATAATTTAACATCTTTCTTGGGCTTGAAATAATTTGCATCATGCCTCTCTAACGTTGATTTTAACATGACCAAACAGTTGCCATGCATTTCAGATTATAAGGCAGTTTTTCCTAGGAAGGTGCAGTTGTTCCCAGCCAATGTGACTGTGAATAATCAGATCTTTTTTTTCCTCCAGGACAAGTTCTATGAAACAATTCTAGGCTAACTGGTTTGATTGTTGCAGTAACTGAGAATGTTACTAAGGTTGCGTTATGTAATTAGTTATGTAATTTCTTCTTCTTCTCTGGATTTGATTTGCATAAATCAGAGTATTCCAAGTTTTGCAGCGGCAGCTCCCATGCTGCAAGAGCTAGATCTAAGTACCTGTTATCTACCATCTGTCTTCATGAGATGATGGACTTGTAAGCTCTTTGGATGGCTTGAGTCATGTGGTTACATTTCTTCGGGCGGATGAAGGGTGCCAAACAGAATGAGCCAGACCCACTGCAAGGTGTCACATTTGTAGATTAAATGAGAAGGTTTTGGCTGGCATCCAAATTAATTTGGAAATGTGTCTGGATGCCTTTACATAGACTTGGGCAACGTGGCTGCAGCCTTCTGTACGATTGTTCCCGTGTCACTCCCAGACATGTACAAAACATTACAGTGGTATCTTAATTTGTTCAGAAGGTCCGTTCTTAACCTCAAACTGTTCTTAACCTGAAGCACCACTTTAGCTAATGGGGCCTCCTGCTGCCCCTGCGCCGCCAGAGCATGATTTCTGTTCTCATCCTGAAGCAAAGTTCTTAACCCAAGGTACTATTTCTGGGTTAGCGGAGTCTGTAACCTGAAGCGTCTGTAACCTGAAGCGTCTGTAACCTGAGGTACCACTGTATAGCCATGCACTCGAACTCCCTTGCATCTTTCTAAAGAGTGCACAAAATAGGCTTTCCGAAGGCTATCATGTAAGCGTGCGACAAAGCTCAACCACATGACTATAAGGTTTTTAGACATTACTGAAAGCCTAGCTACGTAGCCAGAATATTTTTTTTACATTCCTGGGAGCAATATAAGAGAAGCTGCAGGTCTGTTGAAAAGGAAGCCTTCTATCAAAATACTGAGTGACCTCTAGGATTATTGGCATTGACGATATCACCATATCTAGAGTAAATCCCTCTTGCAGTTTGTATACATACCCAAATCACTGCAGCCATCTCTCTTTGGGAAAAAACCAAGGCACTTGGTAGGTCTGCACATTCCATACTGCTGATATTATCTTGCCAGGAAATGCCAAGATGATAAACTGTGAAGATCCATCCATTTTGCTCTTCCAGCCTGTAATGGTCAACTGGTTCTAGTTGCTGTTGCTGCCCACACCCTACTCTCTCTCCCCAACAATTTGACTCGGGTTTGAGAACTCCAGGTTGTTAGTATGCTTTGGGGAGTATCTGTGACAGTATCCACAAGCTGAGTCCTAAAAGTTGTGATTTCTGTTTTAAAGTCATGGCAACGAAATAAATATGGACAAATCTCTATCTTGTTTAACTTGCTTGGCTCACTCAAACCATGAAATTTGAGTCTGGAGGATCTGCAAACCCCTCTGAGCTCCAGAGCATTCATGAATCATGTCTCTATCTTATCACCCAGGCAGATAAAGCCATAGTCCTCTTTCTGTGGACTGATTCAGTTCCTAGTTATGCTATGTGGGTGGGAAGATCATATCTTGTCTTCATATCAGACTATACAGTATTTGTCTTGCCGCTTCAGTTTTTCCTGTGCCCCACTGCATGAAACAAATTCTTGCTTTTGAATACCTCCATCGCCTCTTCTCATCAGATTAAATATGCATTCATCTACATTTTTTTCCTTTTAAATCCAGGCTGCAAGCTTTATTTGACTTAATCAGTGCATTAATCAACTAAAGTTTTAATGAAGTCATTAAGCAGTGAGGGCCAGTTTTAATAAGGGAGCTGAGCTTTAAAAGCACTTGTTGCATTTTTCAAATTTTTCGTCCTGGCATGAGCCTGACATGAATTACGACGTGGAAATCAAAATATCAAAGGCAGCCTTTCCGCCCAACAATGAGTGGTAGTCTTTGTTTAATAACTTTTAAGGTGTCTCACATTTGCATCAACATCTCAAAAAGGCATTTATATTGGCATTTTGGTTTCATGATTATTATTTTAATAATAGGTAGGTTATTAATCAATAATGCCAGTTGGTTGGCAGCCCTTACCTGTCTATCTAGCCATTCATTAATTCATTCATTCATCCAACACTTTTGTATCCTGGGTGTTCAGAGTAACATGGATACATACATTTTATTTTCCTATTGCTGAGGTTCAGTGTCTGAAGCACAGAGCACCGTCCTAACGGTTGTTGATAGCTATTACTTCCAGTTAATAAAATAGTCCTTTTTAATATTGCTTCCCTTGCTTAGGCCAGGCATACATGATTGGAATGAACCAAACACAGGATTGGTTAATCATTGTTAAGTTACATTAAAAATCAGTGGAATAGGGCAGTACAGTGGTACCTCGGGTTAAGTACTTAATTCGTTCCGGAGGTCCATTCTTAACCTGAAACTGTTCTTAACCTGAAGCACCACTTTAGCTAATGGGGCCTCCTGCTGCTGCTGCACTGCCGGAATACGATTTCTGTTCTCATCCTGAAGCAAAGTTCTTAACCCGAGGTATTATTTCTGGGTTAGCGGAGTCTGTAACCTGAAGCGTATGTAACCCGAGGTACCACTGTACATGTTTACTCAGTCAGATAAGGACCTCATATGTATGGTGGAAAAAATAATGCATTAGGATTGCATCGACAACTTAACTTACTACAAACGTGAAGCTTTTAGATTTGATACATGTCTTTCAAAAAGAATCAGTTCCCACTTTTCCACCACACATATAATATCTCTGGCCAATTGAAGTTATACAAGCCAGACTTTATTCATTACTAGCTTAAGTTCTGTTGATTTCCATGTGATTAATTTTTCCTGGATTAGGCTCGATCCGTGCATTCGGTTTTTCATTTCAATTTTCCTGAGCATGTTCTAACAGCTTTATTATTTGGTCTGGTTTCCAGGGGCCAGAGTTTAGCTTTCTGCAGTCTTATACCTGCTTACTTGACTATAGTAATAGTTCATTATTCGCTTGTGCTGTAAGGACATATTTCCATTTGATTCTCTTAACATATATTCTACTCTTAAGGTTCTAAATCGCTGGTGGGGGGTTGCAGATATAGCTGCATAGAGGCACAAACTATGATCGATATAGAATTGTTAACCCTTAGCTGCTTGTTCACTCTTCACAGCTCCATGCGGAAAACTGGCCTTTTGGGGCTGCCGTGTGTAAACTGGTCCCCTTCATTCAAAAGACATCGTTGGGCATCACTGTGTTAAGTTTGTGTGCTCTCAGTATTGATAGGTGAGAAATCAAGATCTTCATTCTATTTTTACCCAGTGTGCACATTTGGTATAAATAATCTTTTAAATAGTAAGGTAAAGGTAAAGGGACCCCTGATCATTAGGTCCAGTCGTAGCCAACTCTGGGGTTGCGGCGCTCATCTCGCTTTACTGGCTGAGGGAGCCGGCGTACAGCTTCCGGGTCATGTGGCCAGCATGACTAAGCCACTTCTGGCGAACCAGAGCAGCGCACGGAAACGCCGTTTACCTTCCCACCGGAGCGGTACCTATTTATCTACTTTCACTTTGACGTGCTTTCGAACTGCTAGGTTCGCAGAAGCAGGGACCGAGCAACAGGAGCTCACCCCATCGCGGGGATTTGAACCACCGACCTTCTGATCGGCAAGTCCTAGGCTCTGTGGTTTAACCCACAGCGCCACCCGAGTCCCTTTTTAAATAGTAGATCCAGGGAAAAATAATTCTGATGCATGTTAGAGAAGAGATACTTAAAGGAACAGATGGGTATGGGCAATATTTTTTTTTTCTAGAGAAAAATGTGCTGGAACGTACCTCCCTCAGAAGACCCACCACAGGATCTCTTCATGTTTGGAGGGGGTGGGGCGTGACTCCTCACCAACCAAAGGCTTATTGAGGTTGGTCTGCTGAGGTGCAGAGAAGCTACCTCGCCTCAGCTGAGCAGCTTAACAAAATCACACCCACCCCACCACCACCTCTCTGGCTCCTATGAGCTGAAGTAGTGTAGGGGCTTGCTCAGCTGAGGCATGGCTTCCCTGCATGCCAGCTGTTAGCTGGGAGGCTGAAAAGCCTCACCAAAGCACCGCTGCCCATCTGGCTTGCAAGGAGAACCTCTCTGGAGCCCGTAGAGCAGTGGTTCCCAACCTTTTTTGGGCCATGCACCACCTAAACATCTCTAAAATCCTGATGCCCGTGACATATAATTCTTATTATTCCAAAAGTGAACTCCTATTCACGTGGAGGAAGCCTAAAAGGCCATTCACTGTTAATAACTCATTCTCAAATTCCCCCCCTTAAAAATCAAATTGCCCCCCTGTAGGGTGTGAGCCCCACGTCAGGAACCACGGCTGTTATGTACTGAGTTGAATAGGATCCAAAAGGCAGCAGTCTGATTGGTCCTAGAACAATAGGATTCAGAATGCAGCAGTCTGGTTGGTCCTAGAACAATAGGCTCCAGAATGAAGCAGTCTGATTGGTCCTAGAACAATGCAGCAGTATGATTGGTCCGCAGCAGCCACCCAATCCAGCTCCAGGTGGAAGTGAATCCGCAACCTGATTGGCCTACAGGAGAATCCCAGAATTAGCCAATCAGATGCGGCCCATTGTGTAAATAATGTATATAAAGCAGATATTTTGGGGAAACTTCCATTCCTCACTACTATGAGCTGAATAAAGAGCATGAAATCCACACTCGACTCCGAGTATATTTCAATGGCCATGGAAGATATCCTCTTCCGACTCTGGAGAAGGTCTCCTCGTGAGCTATCTGCTGACCAGATTCAGATGGAGGCAGGAGCTGCTGTTATTGCTCACTTCCCAACATGTCATGCTTTCAGCTTCTGTGCTGCAGGCATTTCTGCAGTGCTGTACTTGGGACAGAAATAGGGCCTAAATAGTCGCCACTTACTAGATGCTTAAGTTCACATCAGCAGGACTGGGGGGGACAGACGGGCTTTTAGTCCCAGCATAGTGTATGATGTGATCTAATCAGCACCTCTTTCTTCCATTTAGGTATCGGGCAGTCGCTTCATGGAGCCGTATCAAGGGAATTGGAGTCCCAATGTGGACGGCGGTCGAAATCGTCCTGATCTGGGCCGTGTCTCTTGTTTTAGCTGTCCCCGAGGCTTTAGGCTTTGATTTGATCACCCTCCCATACCACGGCCAGAAACTTAAAGTGTGTCTACTTAATCCCCGCCAGGAAACTTCTTTCATGCAGGTACGGTGTTCTCTTGTGAGCCAGCTGCTTCCGTGTTAAGAGATGTGTTTATTTAATAAAGTCGTACCCTGCCTGTCTCAGAAACACACATCTGAGGAGGGTACAAATGATGCGCCTGTCTGTGTACTTGCAGACAAAGAGCAACGATAAACACAAGACACACAAAAAGCCTGTGGTTTGACTTAACAGGGTTGCATTCGACTAACCTTCGTTCAGACTAGGCCCATGGAAGTGAATGGGTCTTAGTCATGGACATTAATTTCAGCAGGCCTACTCTTGAGTAAAAGTTCGTTGATTACAATCCACTGTGTGTTTTACAAGTTATTTTCCCTCTCAGGTGTCAGGAAGAGCTATATAGCACTTAGGACTCAGCTAGAAAAAGTGTTCCAAATGCATTCTATATGCGATATAACACTGTGACACCAGGTGGCGCTGTGGAGTCTCATCTTTCCCAACTGGATTTCCCTGTATGAGTTTACAGGGCGTTTAACCAAAACGTTTCTTTGATCCGTCTAGATCCAGCCTTAGTCTGGTCCCCTTGATACGTGGACCCAGCTGATACGAGCGTCAAGTGCTCGCTAACCTCAACCTTTTTATTATTAAATTTACATACCACCCTTCATCAAAAGATCTCAGAGCAGTTCACAGAATAAAATACAAGATAAAACAGAATCCGAGACCAGGGAGAAGAGTCGGTGGAAGAAGATTGGAAGAAATTTAAAGACTATCTACAGAAATACTGTAAAATTAATGAATGTTAGAATGATGTTGGAATGAAGCTAAGGGGTTTTTAGTAGTAATGCTACAAGGAGTATGTAAAAATGGACTGTTAACAGATGAGAATATACAACTATTACATATTAAGACAAAGGTCTAAGATAAAAACAAAGAGGGAAAGGATTTCCTGAATTAACTTACTGAACTGGAATACAAAAAAGGGGAGGTGTGAGGAGGTCAGGGAAACGAGTGAAAGACAAGATATGGAAAGATTGATTTGTTTTTAATTGTTTTTACTTTTTTTGTATTTTGTATTTTCTTCTTTCTTTTTTTATTCTTTCTTATTATTACTATTGTAACTCCTTTTTTATTTTTGAAACTTTAATAAATATCTTATAAAAAAAAAGATAAAACACAGTAAATAATTAAAAACAAACAAGAACCAAACCTTCCTACAGACACATTTAAAAGGCTGTGGGATGTTAATCAGCCCAAGGCTTAGGTGAAGAGCAACATTTTTGCCTGGCACCTTAAAGTGAAGGCACCAGGCAAACCTCCCTGGGGAGAGCATTCCACAAGCGAGGAACCACTACAGAAAAGGCCCTGTTCTTGTATTGCCACCCTCTGGATCTCACATGGAGGAGGCACACGAAGAAGGGCCTCAGAGGATGAACACAGAGTCCGGGATGGTTTATATGGGGAGAGGCGGTCCTTGAGGTATTGCAGTCCTGAGCCGTTAAAGGCTTTATAGGTCAAAACCAGCACTTTGAATTGGGCCCGGAAGCTGATTTGGCAGCCAGTGCAGTCTCCTTTCCCATCATATTTGTCCCTTCTAAAGAAGAGCTCCTCCCCCCCCTTCCATTGTTTATCTCTCACACAGCTAATCTCCCCTCGCGGTTGGCAAGAAAAGCAGGCGAAATTAGCCAAGGAAGGTTGGTTCCTGGCTCCTCCTTCCTTGTGAGTATAGTTCAGCTGGGGCTCCCACGTCCCTCAGAGCAGAGAGGAAGGCATGGGGCAAGTGAGTGCATTGAGCCCCTTCATTTTTCCTCACCTGTGCAGCAAGGATGGAGAACTTGTGGTCCTCCAAGTGGTGATGGAGTAGGACTCCCATGTCAGGTGGGGTGCTGCTTTTCTCCTGGGCATCAGTTCTTCCGGCCGGCCTGCCTGCTGTGGGAGTCCGAGGCAGCATCCCCCACAAGGGCATATTCTTATGAGACTCCAGTGGGCCAATTTCTTAATGAAGGTACTCTGAACATGCCAGTCTGTTAGGTTTGGCGTGTGATACTCTGTACATCGTGGACATGCATGTGTCCTTGACTGCCATTATAAAGCAAAGTTATTGTAAGTAATGGCAACTTAAATTGATGGAATATGACCAGCTTGCAGATTTAACATATAGAATAAGAAAACAAGAAGAGCATGCGTTTAAGGAAGATTGGAAAATGTTTATTGAATATATGGGGGGAAATTGTGTACACTTGAAAACGATGGCAGCATTAAGATAAATTCAACAGTGTACATAAGTTTTAATGGGGTGTAATAATGGAATACTGGATGGTTTGGTTTATGTAAAATATGTAGGGATTTATGGTATGCAAAATCAACTATGGAAAGAGAAGAAGGGAAGTCATTGATATTTTAAGGTTGTTTAAATGAATATAATAAAATGTAAAGCAGAAAAAAATAATTAAAAAATATAAAGCAAACTTATTTTTTTCATTCCCTCCTCCTCCTAGCTTTACAAGGACGCTAAAGACTGGTGGCTCTTCAGCTTTTATTTCTGCTTGCCGTTGGCAACCACAGGCCTTTTCTACACTTTGATGACCTGCGAGATGCTCAGGAAGAAGAGTGGGATGCAGATCGCTTTAAACGACCACTTAAAACAGGTAAAGATCATACAGATTCATATAATTGTAGAGTTGGAAGGGGCACCAAGGGGCATCTAGTCCAACCCCTCTGCAATGCAAGAATCCTGCCTACAGCCGTCGCTGGGTGGCCTCGAACCAGCAACCTTCTGGTTAACAGCCAGACACACTGGCCTATCTCCCTGACATTGTGTACATCCTATTTTGACGAAAATTTCTTTCCCAGGAAATTTTTCTCTAGATGCCGTCGCTGGGTGGCCTCGAACCAGCAACCTTCTGGTTAACAGCCAGACACACTGGCCTATCTCTCTGACATTGTGTACATCCTATTTTGATGAAAATAACAGGAAATTTTTCTCTAGATGCCGTCGCTGGGTGGCCTCGAACCAGCAACCTTCTGGTTAACAGCCAGACACACTGGCCTATCTCTCTGACATTGTGTACATCCTATTTTGATGAAAATAACTTTCCCAGGAAAGTTTTCTCTCGATGCTTTTTGTAGCACTCAAGCAGGCTAAAGTGCCTCGATGAATTCATCTGCCTCGATGAATGATAACAAGCAGGTTGATAGGAGCAAACAGGCTTTGTTTCCAGGGTTTCGGTAAAGATGCAGGTGGTGGACAATGTGGGAAAATGGGACAGGAGAAGCTATGGCTTTGGCATCTTCACTGGGACATTTTAAAAGTATAGCATCAACCACCAGGTTGTACCCAGGGTATCCATAACCTTTGCTACATACAGTGATCGCTTTTGCATCCTCTGCCTAGTCTTTCTACTGGTTGCACCTTAAAAGTGGAGGGTGGTATTCAACGAAATAATTGCATGTGTGGAATGGCTTTCAGTTGTGCAATAGGATTCCCGCCCCCTGCGCACACCTGGCACTATCCCCAAATCTGCTCTTGGGGGGCTGGAGAATTCCACAGGATAGATTTACGGGGTGTGTGGCAGGAGGAGAGGGGTGTGGGGAGTCCGGTTGCACAAGCAGTTGTTGTTCTGCTCCTGCCATTATTTAGATGAATGCTGCCTGGAATACACAGGAAACAAGGAAAAAAGACACACAATTTCTAAGCTAACCACAGTTTGAAGATGAAATACCACACCCTCTTGGGGTCAAGGAAGGCATAGAGAGGTCTCCCCCCAAACCAGAATACCAATAACAATAGTTAACACCTCTCACTTGATCCTGCATAGTCAATGCTACCAATCTCCCGGTGGCAATGTTTTATCATTGTATATATTGTTACGGCAAGTTCCTCGTCAGTAGAAATTTTGTTTTCTTCTGTACAGGAACACATGTTTGAGGTGTGGAGCTCACAGTCGTGGCACACCACCGAGCAAATTATACTTAATACCAGACAAGAAGTAGTAAACAGGCAGCATGTTAAAACTTGGCCTAAAAGAATATACCAATTTATTACAAACCAGAGAGATGGATTACTTATATCAGGGGGAGCCACAAGGGCAGAAAAAGGATCTGCAAGTGGGTTTCCCAAAAGGTTGATGAATACAAATGTATGCGGTGTGCGCAAGAGGGTTGGTTATGCGTGCATAGGTCTGGTGGAGGGTTCAAATCCATGTCATCATCGTTATTTATTTATTAAATTTTTATACCGCCCTGCACCCACAGGTCTCAGGGCGGTTCACAGTCATGCTAATGGGTGCTCATGTGACTATGTGGTAGCCTCAGGCATAGAGGGTCTGACTAGGCCAGGTATGTCCAAAGTCCATTTCAGGGGCCTAATTTGGCCCGCCAGTTGGTTTAATTCTGGCCCCTGTGGCAGTTTATTTCCTGGGGTAAAATCCTAAAAAAAAAAACTCGACAACTTCAGTCCTAATAAAAGCTCAAAAACTTCAATCCTAAAAAAAGCTCAAAAACAACTTTGGGGTAAAATTATACAAAAAAACTCAACAACTTCAATCCTAAAGAAAAGGTTAACAACTTTGGTCGGCCCTCACGGCCCTTCACTTCATCAAACCTGGCCCTCTTTGAAAAAAGTTTGGACACCACTGGACTAGGCCAAATCAATATGGGCCTTGGATGGCTGCAGCGGCGTAGCGTGGGTTGTCAGCACCCAGGGCAAGGCAAGTAATTTGCGCCCCCTAACCTGGGGCAAGGCAAGTAATTTGCGCCCCCTAACCCCTAACCTGCCGCCGCTGCCAGCTTCTTCTTGCTGCTGCCTGGTCTGGTCTGGTGTGGTTCTCTCCCGCGCTCAGCGCTGCACTGGGCGGCCGCTGCACTGTCCCTCCCCCAGATAGTCCCTCGCTCTCTCTCCGCACCGCACGCCTGGCACCCACCCCCTCCACAGTGGGCGGCGACCCAGCGGCTCGGATCAGATTCGCACAGCCAGCACTGCAGTGAGAGAGTGTGAGTGAGCCAGGTAGGGGCAGAGAGCTGCGAGTGCGAGCGTGCCCCCCCCAGATGTTGCGCCCGGTGCGGCCGGCCCCCCCTGCACCCCCCACGCTACGCCACTGGATGGCTGAATTAGAGGTTTGGCATTTGTGTTTCCTGGGGCTCTGACACTACAACACATAGAGTCGTGCCTTCTGCTTGATATACTCCATAGGCAAAATGGTGATTTCTAGGGCCGGCGAGGCTGAGCTGAGATAATAGCATGCAACCAAGTAATGCCAGGCATGCGTCAGGGACTGGCAGGGCGCTGAGAAGCTGGCAGCAGAGGAAGGGAGGCTGGAGTCTTTGACTCAGGAGAGGGCTCCAGAGATTTGTGGGGACCTGTATCAGCCAGGAGGCAAGAGTCAGAGGCAGGGAAGCTTCAGAGCTGAAGCACGGAGCACAGGAGGGGTCGGAGGAAGAAGCAGGTCAGGTCAAGGCCAAATGCCACCAATGTCTCCTAGAACTAGGAGAGGATTGAAGAGGGAAGAGCAGAGGTGGCTTCCAGACAGGTGCAGCCTCTGGCTGTGTGTTCGCAGCCCATCGGAAAGTACAGTCGTACCTTGGATCCCGAACGCCTTGGTATTTGGACATTTTGGCTCCCGAAGGCCACAAACCCGGAAGTGAGTGTTCTGGTTTGCGAACGTTCTTTGGAACCCAAACATCCGACGGGGCTTCCGATTGGCTGCAGGAGCTTCCTGCAGCCAATGAGAAGCCGCGCCTTGGTTTCCAAACGTTTTGGAAGTCGAACGGACTTCTGGAACGGATTCCGTTCGACTTCCAAGGTACAACTGTATATGAAATGGAGGGAGGGAGGGCCATTGCTGCAACTACTTCATAGAGCGCACATCACACTATTTATTTATTTATTTTATTTTTATTTATTGACTAGACTGGTGTGGGGCTATTTGGAGCCATAGAAACTACTTTAAGTGTCCGCTTTTGACTAATAATAATAATAATAATAATAATAATAATAATAATAATAAAAATAATGTTATTTATACCCCAGCCAAGGCCAGGCTCAGGGCTGCTAACAACCAATAATAAAAACGAGTTGAATGAATACAACTTAAAAACAAGATCAAAATACAACATTAAAACAATTAAAATGCAGCCTCATCACAGGAGGAGAAAGGAAAAAGAAAGAGGGAGAGGGAATCAAATTGACTCCAAGTGTTAACACTCTGCCGTGTGCATTTTTTTGGCTGGGGAGCATCCACAACAGCGTGTCTCGTTTCATTGGTGCTATTTTGGTTATGTAGGTGAGCCCTTGAACTACAGAAAGTCTGTCTAAATCACAGCTTTCCAAACCGCGTGGCACAACACGTTAGTGTGTTGGCTGCAGTGCGTAGGTGTGACCTGCGACCGTTCCCCGCGCTCCTCCCGGGGCTGGAAAGGGGTTGGTTTAACCTCCGGTTTTCTAGTAAAGCTGAATTAATGTGCCGCAAAATGATGCATGTCTAAAAAGCGTGTCACCATCGTGAAAAGTTTCGGAAGTAGCAGTTGCTGTTTTTTTGCTGGTTTGTTTGTTGGAAGAATTCAAAGTAGATCAAAGAGCAATGGTCAAAAAACCCCAAAAGCAAAATGTGCAGACTTTTCTTTTGAAGTATCATGCAATATTTTGCCCAGTGCCCTTGTTTTTTTCATAGCCATAAGCCAAAAGTGTGCCAGTGTGTGTAGGATAAACATAATGCAAAGATTGGTCAGGGATCATGTTCCAATTGAAATGTTCAGCTTCATTAAGTATGACCCGTTTTCCCATTTTCAATGGGTGTTTCTTTGCTTTCAGAGACGCGAAGTGGCCAGAACCGTGTTCTTCTTAGTGCTCGTCTTTGCTGTGTGTTGGCTTCCTCTCCACCTTGGTAGGATACTGAAGTTTGCTCTTTACGATGCGAGTGACCCAAACAGATGCGAACTTCTGAGGTAGGGCTCCTCTGATGAAATGCTTCCCAAGATAGCGTTGCCATTTTGATTTACTCCCCCAAAGGTGGCATTTATGCAGAGCCAATTTATACAGCAAGTGGCCCTCTGAGATCATTGTGAGGAGCGCATATGGCAGCCAGTGGACATGCTGGGGTGCAAGTCTGTCTCTTCCAGGGCCCAGTCTAATTGTGGCTTTTTGTAAAACCCCTATGTGGTTCCTATATATGTGTTAAAGGTAAAGGTAAAGGGACCCCTGACCATTAGGTCCAGTCGTGGCCGACTCTGGGGTTGCGGCACTCATCTCGCTTTATTGGCCGAGGGAGCCAGCGTACAGCTTCCGGGTCATGTGGCCAGCATGACTAAGCCACTTCTGGCGAACCAGAGCAGCGCACGGAAACGCCGTTTACCTTCCCGCTGGAGCGGTACCTATTTATCTACTTGCACTTTGACGTGCTTTCGAACTGCTAGGTTGGCAGGAGCAGGGACCGAGCAATGGGAGCTCACCCCATCGCGGGGATTCGAACCGCCGACCTTCTGATCGGCAAGTCCTAGGCTCTGTGGTTTAACCCACAGCGCTACCCACGTCCCTTTATATATGTGTTGCATCTGCACTATTCAGATTTGGCCATAATGCAGGTGGCTCAGAAGTAGGTATACAGTTGAATCAATGAAATACTACTACTAATAATAATAATTAGTAATAATAATTTATTATTTATACCCCGCCCATCTGGCTGGGTTTCCCCAGCCACTCTGGGCGGCTTCCAAGAAAAGATTAAAAATACATCAGTCATTAAAAACTTCCCTGAACAGGGCTCCCTTCAGATGTCTTCTAAATGTCAGATAGTTGTTGATTTCCTTGACATCTGATGGGAGGGTGTTCCACAAGGCGGGAGCCACTACCGAGAAGGCCCTCTGCCTGGTTCCCTGCAACCTTGCTTCTCACAGGGAGGGAACCGCCAGAAGGCCCTCGGTGCTGGACCTCAGTGTCCGGGTTGAACGATGGGGGTGGAAATTTATCACAACACATTATATGGGTACGCATAACTGACACGCAACAAAGTGGCAGTTAAACTTCAGCTGGAGAGAATAGTGCGGCAGTTGGGGAGGGGGGAAATAGTGAGATAAAAGGATTATTTTTCTTTACTGATATGTGAACGAGAACAGCGAACCTGAGTCAAGAACAAAGAAAGTGGATTCTAAAGCAGTATATCTAATTTTGGGCTGCCCTGTATGCTTGATCTTTAGCCTCTGAGAGCTTCCATGCTGCTTTTCACAATAAAATACGCAGAAAATTTCGCTGATGAAGTGAGACTGAGGTGTGCAGCACAGTCTAGGGTGGAGCCAGAGAGAAATTCCGCAGGCCAAAAAGTGATGGCAAGGAAAGCAGTGTAGTCCCGACTGAAAGCATGGGAAGACAATATCCTCCTTTGCACTGTGTTTATTCACCACCACCAAATGAATTCATCCTTTTTTTTCCTGTCTTTCATCCATCCTACCAGACTGCCTTCTTTGTGACCTACCTCCTATTTATGATCTTGATTTCCCCACCAAAACAACCCCAAGAAGTCCAGGAGTGCTACCTGAAATCTTTTCCTAATCTGACTACCTTAAATCAGTCGTGGGGAGGAACCAACGTCCTCCAACTGTTGTCTCCTGCGTGAAAACCCTAGATTCCCAGCGAGACACACCCAACCTGTAGAACTACTAGCTCACTCTTATGGGAAGCTCCCATTGCACACTGGAGCAAAATAGCTCGTTTCTTCTGGAAAGACTAGAGCAGTTTCCCCCCTGCTTTCAGAAGATAGTGTGATTAGCAGCCTGCTTTCACAAATGGGAAATTCCTTATTTTGAATTCCTTCAAAACAATTACAGGGGGAAATGTTCTAGGATCACCCGGCTAGCTTCATGGGTGAGTGAGGAATTGAACCTATTTCTCCCTGCTCCTAGTCCAGCACTATTTACCTCTATATCACACGGGCTCCCTAGTTGCAGTAGACTGCCTAACACGTCCTGATGCTTAACTATCTTTAAATAAAGAATTTCAACTATTTTTCATATCTTTTTCCCCCATGCAGCTTTTTGCTCATATGGAACTACATTGCTATGAACATGGCATCCCTGAATTCCTGCATTAATCCAATTGCTCTCTATTGGGTGAGCAAAAGATTCAAAAACTGCTTTAAGGTAAGAAGTCTTTGTTGAAATGTGCTTTTATAGAAATGAAGCTAGGCAGCATCAGGTTAAGGGAGAAATCCAAACCCAAGACGCGCTGGGATGAGACCTTGAGGTGTGTCTGGGATAATGAACTGGACAGGTTTTGTTTCTGCTTAAAGGCGCTGGCAAACGAAATTATCAAGGTGTCTAGTGCAAATTCACTATATAAAAGTGTTCCTTCTTTGCACAGTTTCCACATGAATCAGCTGCTCTCTAGGGGCATCCCTAAGGACTACAACTGTGGTTGTCCCATTGATTCCTTAGCACTGTCAACTTACAGCCTAGGAGGAGGGGACTCCTAACTCAATTGGGAGCACGCATTTTCAAAACCTGGGATAAGAAAATTCAGGGAGAAAGAAGAGCCACAGAAGCAATTGGCTCTAGTTCTCCAGCACGTCCACCTCCTACTTTGAGAACCAGTGAGGTAGACCATGGACTGGAGAGACCATGGACTGAAGTGGTATAGTGGTTAAGGGTGTTGGATGAGAACCTGTGAGATCTGAGTTCAGGTTCTCACAGCTTGGCCTTGGCCCAGTATACCTGAAGGAGCGTCTCCACCCCCATCGTTCTGCCCAGACACTGAGGTCCAGTGCCGAGGGCCTTCTGGTGGTTCCCTCACTGCGAGAAGCCAAGTTACAGGGAACCAGGCAGAGGGCCTTCTCGGTAGTGGCGCCCGCCCTGTGGAACGCCCTCCCACCAGATGTCAAAGAGAACGACAACTACCAGACTTTTAGAAGACATCTGAAGGCAGCCCTGTTTAGGGAAGCTTTTAATATTTGATGCTTTACAGTATTTTAATATTTTGTTGGAAGCTGCCCAGAGTGGCTGGGGAAGCCCAGCCAGATGGGCAGGGTATAAATAAATTATTATTATTATTATTATTATTATTATTATTATTATTATTAGTGACCTTGGGCCCTGAGCCTAACTCTCCCGCACTGGGTGGATGCAATAAAATGGAGGAGGGGAGAAAGGTAGTATAGAAATGTAAACATAAATAAATTGTAACCCCCAAAAATAGTTCTGAGTTTTTGGTCAGAAATAGGTAGTAGGCATTCTCTATATTGAAGTGTTGCACCAAGCCTTCTAATAAGGGATTCTGCTCTCTTTCAAGTCATGTCTGTGTTGCTGGTGCCATTCGAAAGATATGCTGTCCCTGGAAGAGAAACAGTCCTGCTTAAAGTTCAGAGCCAATGATCACGGGTATGACAATTTCCGTTCCAGCAACAAGTACAGCTCGTCTTAAGAAAGGGAAATGTACCCTCAGCTCCTGCGACAAAAAAGACTGCGATAAAAACAGCAGATTTCTGGGGAGAAACGAGTTTGGAGTTTTCTCGGAAAACCAAATTGTAAAACTTTGCTTACAGTCTGTACCAGTTGTGATTACGCACGGCGCCCGTAGCTATTTGAACACATGAAAATCACCAGGAGACGCAAAAAAAGAAAACCCCTTGTTGAAAGCACTTAAACTCTTCGGAATGAGCACTTCCAGATCATCCTCAAATCCTGTGCACGAAACAACTCTGTATTCATTGAACTAGCCCTGGGAGCCTGAGTAATAATTCTTTGTATATAGTATACCATGGCTATTGTTTGGGACAAAGCCAGCTTTGTCTATAAATTACTGTAATCTTTCTTTCTTTCTTTCTTTCTTTCTTTCTTTCTTTCTTTCTTTCTTTCTTTGGTGGGAGAGATTAAAAGATACAGGCATGTCCAAAACATAATCCCTTATCAAATGTGCAAATTGCATCACCACCGCAGCTTTAAAAATATATCAATATTTTACTTACATAGCCAGAAACAAAATTAAAAGACATAATCAGGCTCAAAACAATCTGCTGTTAAGTTAGAAAAATGCAAGCATGTCCATGTGGGGAGGAGCAGCATCAGGGAAAAGCAACGCAACTTAGTTTTTTTAAACGCCAGCAGAGTCCTGAAGCCATGAGCATGTCAGCAGGGACTCAGCTGCATTCCACTGGTGGAAATGGCAAGTAAAACCAATTTCTCATCAGAGGATCCGATCAGGCCTGCTCAGCCTCATGATCTACAAAGCTGCATTCACCCCACCAGGCAGGCAGCAAACCCAAGAAGGCGGATCAGGCTCCTGGCAAGTCAGTTTACATAAGCAAGGATCTGTTTGGCCTAGCGAGCCACAAGCTGTAGAGTGATTGAGGTAAGGACGATAGAGGAATTTGCAGGAGCAGAGTGGAATGCGTCTTTGGAGACTGGTCTTCTTTCCATGGGGAAAATGTATATTCAACGGCTCTGCCTGAGAACAAACAGTAGGAGTGGCTAACTTCTGGTCAGCATCTGGTACTCCATTTTCTGAATGGTAAGCATTTCAGGGATCAGAGCGGCACTCTTTGGGCCCATATCGAAGGTGCCATTTCTTCTCTTTGCCATAACAACCCCTGTCTGATGCTGGGTTAACCAGTCATCACTGGTTACGACTCTGGAGCTCTTAAAAAGACGCTACCATTATTCCTCCCTCACCAAGTACAGTCGTGCCTTGGATCTCAAACGCCTTGCGACTCGAACGTTTTGACTCCCAAACGCCACAAACCTGGAAGCGAGTGTTCCGGTTTGCGGACGTTCTTTGGAAGCTGAACGTCCAACACGGCTTCCAATTGAGTGCAGGAAATTCCTGCAGCCAATCAGAAGCCACACCTTGGTTGTCGAACGTTTTCGGAAGTCGGATGGACTCCCAGAATGGATTCCGTTCAACAACCAAGGTACGACTGTATCAGTGTTTCTCAAACTTGGGTCTCCAGCTGTTGTTGGACTACAACTCCCATCACTCCTAGCTAGCAGGAACAATGGTCATGGATGATGGGCATTGTAGTCCAACAAACAGCTGGAGACCCAAGTTTGAGAAATACCAGTATATGAACAAACTGCCCCAAGCATGTGGACGTTAAGTATGTTCTGTGTTCTGCAATTGCACACGGAAAAGGTACAGAATGTGGTAGCGGCCACAGAATTCATTGCCTTCAGAATGTCAACTTTCTTCTGAAGATTTGGAGGGTTGGCATGAGGTTTCAGTGCCCTGCTTACCACTTTGCTCCCTCGCCCAGGACTGGCCAGCCTAAATAGTGCAAAGTAGTAAACATTACAGAATTAATTAAACAAAATAAGGCTATGCAAATTAGCAAATCTGGTTCGCCAGAAGTGGCTTAGTCATGCTGGCCACATGACCTGGAAGCTGTCTACGGACAAACTCTGGCTCCCTCAGCCTATAGAGCGAGATGAGCGCCGCAACCCCATAGTCGTCCGCGACTGGACCTAACGGTCAGGGGTACCTTTACTTTACCTTTACCTTTACCTTTACTCCCAGCCCTGACTCTATACCATTTCAGTTTTAGGTGTTTGTCATCTCTGTTATAGAGAAGAGTATAGCTTAACTTGCAGATGATTTCCAGCATTTGAGAGGTCACTCTTACTATTTCCATGGCAAAAGAAACTACCCACATATTCAGAGGTCTAGCACCTATCAGTATCGAAAATGTTGGATCCCTATCTTTACCTATGTTTATCTAAAGAGCACTCAGTTAGCATTTTATAAATCTCAGACATAACCAACCCTAGAGTAGTAAATAATAAAACATGGGCAGGTCCCATTAATGCCTGTACGAATAGGGCGCGTGCAAGAGAAAATGTGTTTGTAATAAACATGTTGTGCATTGCCAGGAGCAGATCACTTTTTTTTGTGCATTGAAAGATAATACTGCTAGTTAAAATAGGTTTAAAGCTTAGTACAAGGATGAACCTCTACTTACGACCGCCTCTACTTGGGCCCAATCCAAGTCGTGACCGCGGCAAACCCGGAAGTAAATTCGTGCACGCACAGAAGCGGCTTCTGCCATTTGTACATGCGCAGAAGCGGCTACTGCCGTCTGCACATGCGCACAACTGCATTTCTACCAGTGACCCGTTTCGCCTAAAGAACGGGCCGCCAGAATGGATTATGGTGGTAAGTAGAGGTTCCACTGTGTTGTTGTTGTTTAGTCGATTAGTCGTGTCCGACTCTTTGTGACCCCATGGACCAAAGCACACCAGGCCCTCCTGTCTTCCACTGCCTCCCGCAGTTTAGTCAAACTCATGCTGGTAGCTTCAAGAACACTATCCAACCATCTCATCCTCTGTCGTCCCCTTCTCCTTGTGCTTTCCCAACATCAGGGTCTTTTCCAGGGAGTCTTCTCTTCTCAAGAGGTGGCCAAAGTATTGGAGCCTCAGCTTCACGATCTGTCCTTCCAGTGAGCACCCAGGGCTGATTTCCTTAAGAATGGAGAGGTTTGATCTTCTTGCAGTCCATGGGACTCTCAAGAGTCTCCTCCAGCACCATAATTCAAAAGCATCAATTCTTCGGCGATCAGCCTCCTTTATGGTCCAGCTCTCACTTCCATACATCACTACTGGGGGAACCATAATAGAAATTAATAAAATTGTTCTGGGTTATACATAATCTGAGCTAAAAAAGCAGGCACCGCCAATATGATGCCTGTGAGTACCCTTCAAAGGATCTCAGTAAATATCCCCTCAAAAACCCACATCCTCAATGCTGTTCTCGCTTCCACTGACTTAGCCTGCCCTACACCAGCCCCCATAAACACATAAAGATTGAACACCCAGAGGAGAGGAACTATGAGCTTCTTTCTATGAGCAAGTGCAGGCACTGACTGGGGGCATGTTTACACCTTTTCTGCATTTCTGTCTCTTTTCTGCTTCACTAGATGTGGCAACCATTTTTTTTGTTATGCCCTTCACCCCGTGGCAGCTATTTTGTGACTGGTATCCTCCACCCATGGCACTTTCCCCAAATTCCAAACATGACCACAGGCCCGTAAAGGCTGGCAGCTTCAACGCTAGTTAGATCCTTGGCCCTGTGGCAAGATCCACTGTTGTTACAGCATCCCTGGCTGGCCCTACTAGGAGGTAGAGAGAGACGGTCACCCCAGATAGCAGATTTGAGGCAAGGTTAAAAAGGATGGCAAATTCCTAGAATATGTAATCTTTTTCCCCACAGGTGAGTTCAGAACATGGGGTGTTGTTTCTCAGGCACTAAATGTGCCCCTCTCTGTTGGGGAACATCATTTAGGCAGCGGTTCCTAAACTGTTGGGGGGGGGGAAGTAGTAGAGAATAAGCTTCACTGATGGTGGTAGGCAGTAAATATGCACATGAATGGACGACTAAAGGACATTCCACCAGGAAGTTTCTCTGCCCAAGCACCTACTAAAATGAATGAAAGCCACAAAAAGAATTGTGCACGATGTGGCCAATGTGTTTTGTCCTCATGGTGTGTCACCATAGATGGGTTTTTTATAAAACTGCCCTAATCACCTTGAGCTCATGACAAACTATATTGGAACGTTAAATAGAACTATAATGAAACACTTGTGGGTTGTTTCCTATCATCCTCTGAGGCTGTGTACATTTAAAGTTCATGGCTTCCGCCAAAGAGTCCCAAGAACTGGTTTACCCTTCGCAGAGCTACAACTCCCAGCACCCTTAACAAACACTACAGTTCCCATGATTCTTTGGCAATTAGGATGAAAGCAGATGCGTAAGAAATGAAAGGTGTTGTGTCCTAGGTCTTAAGAGATTGAATAATTCAACCGTAGTGAATATGCTGTACACTTATTTCTGGTGAAAAATACCATAGAAAAAGTAAGATGCATGGATGAATGTCCTAGATATGAAATGTATTCATGTGCTTTAGTACTAGCCATAAACTCTGTGCACATGTGTGTGTGTGCGCACACACAAACACACATTCACTGCTTTCACCTTAATCTTGCCATGCCCTTTAGCAGTTAGTTTGAGAGAGGCAAAAGTATTAATGTTGGCATGGTCAATCCAACATTGGTTCTGATCGACTGTTTACCACTGACAGTTGACTAGCACTTTTAACCTCTGAAGTCAATGGGAAACCGAATAAATTGTCTATTCGAATCTGCTCAGTATTATTGCTACTGTTTCTAGTATTTCAGTACTGTACGTATATGATATTTGTAATTCTATTTAAAATGTAGTCTTCATTGTATGATGTATGGGGGTATTTTCCCCTTGATGAGTTTATTTTAATTTGTCTTAGAGCTGTTACACTCGATCCTAAATTCCTCTGTGGAAACACCTTGGGCAGATCCTGACATGCAACAAAATCCACGTGTGGGTTTTTAACAAATTGCCTTCCGTGCAGGAATTTGGTCATACCTGTGGAACATGCGTTGGTCATATATTATGGATGCAAAGCATAAATGCTCTCTAATCTTTAGACAATTGTGTATTCTAAATATATTATCCTCAGATTTCATTTTATCCAGTACTTTTGAGAATAGTAACCTTCCAGAAATGGTGGTTTTCCATACACTGATTGGGGTTGCCAACTTTATATATATATACAGTGGTACCTCTAGTTGCAGACGTGATCCGTTCTGGGGTGCTGTTTGCACCCCGAAAAGTCCGCAACTAGAGCGGCGCTTCTGCGCATGCGCGGAACACACAGAACGCTTCTGCGCATTCAGTGAAACCTGGAAGTATACACTTCTGGGTTTGCCACGTTCGCAAGCTAAAAAGATGCAACATGAACCTAACGCAACATGAGGTCTGACTGTACTGATTCCTGATGCTGTGCCTTTAAGAGCAGATTATGCTGCAGACACTAGCAAGTGATAATGGTTACTTCCATGCTGCCAAAAACGTCACATGTGAATTTCTGCAGATCAAACTGCTAACATCTGACCAGGATGTTGTTGTTCTTCTGATCAGCTGGCAACCTTCAGGCGGATATGGAAGAGACGAGCAAGGCAAGCCTAACAGATCTAGCTATAAGCTCTTTGAAAAAATGTAGCCATAATAAGGAACTACCTCTACTATACAAATATTTTCTGAAGCAATACAAACGTAAGATAATTAAACAGACAGGAAAAGGTCCGACTCTTTTTAAAGTTCCCCTATTTAGACATCCCAATTGGATACAGAGTTCTTCCCCAACCACTTGGTCTCTTCCTCTCTCTTTGCATCCTTTAACTGAATTGTTTCATGCATTCCATTGCTGCTTGATCCCATGTAAAATATAAACCTGCCAGCTTATGGAAACAACCCTTCATTTATCTGACGAAGTAGACTCTAGCCCACAAAATCTTGATGCCTTAATAAATCAGTTAAGTCTTTAAGGTGACACAGAACCATTTGCTGGCTTTGTCGCAACGGATTAACACAAGTAGACCTCTGGAAACTGTGAAGATCCTGTGAATTTCTCTGTGCTGGATCATGGCCTACATGCGTAACACGATAAATGCTGGTCATATAAATAGTGTGGTGTACATTGGGTTGTGGCTCTTAATTAAAAGTACAAGGAAACAATATTTCGGCTCTCCAATGAATGATGGACACAAAAGAGGTTTACATATACCATGTGGTTCTTGGTTCAGAATTGCCCTTCACTGCCATTGAAATGCTTTCCCCTTTTTCTCAGCAAAAAGGGATACATTCACGGAGAGATCTGTACCGCTTTTCCATAGAGTTTTATCTTCCCCTCGCTGCTCATACCAGAGCAGGTGGATTAGGAGAGGTAAATTAGGCTGCTTGTTGCAGCTAATATTCTTTGTTTTAATATAGTTTTATGAACATGTAAAATATTTGTGTATTTTGCTTTTTATGGATACTTAAAAATCAACTGTTACGGTTACTACAATGTAAGCAAACTGAATTATCAATAAAGATATTTGTACATTGTTTCATTAGATAAAGTGTTCTTTCTGCCCTCACCTTTCATTGATTTAGCTGAACTTACCCTTACTTCAGTATCTCAAAAGATAAACTATAGATCTGTTTACAGTCTCTGTTTACAGCTTTTTTAAATTTTATTAAATAACTAAAAAACGGGCTTCATGACCCCTGACAAATGTATATGATTGGAAGAGAGATTTTCATTAAAATGATCACTTGCCATCTCTGGCTGTACTTCAAGCGACTTGTTTAACAATCTTACATTTTTCATAAAAGCACCAATTCATACCATTTGTGGACTAATACACAGTGATAAGCTTTCAGATATGGATGCATGTGGCAACATCACATGCCCCATGTAGGAAAAGGTTTACCATATATTAGTTTGCAAATCGGGTACATCAGGGTTGTGAGTTCGAGCGTAAAATACATCCTTTGCAGGGGGTTGTACTAAATGATCCTTGTGGTCCCTTCCAACTCCATAGTTCTATGATTTGTTTTACTGTGATAAAAAAAAAACTGCTCCTTTTCCTTTATGGGGTATTCCAGAGCCTGTATAGAGTCCTTAAGTGGGTTCCCTATCAGTAGGAGAAAATAACAAAGGCCAACCAGAGTATATTGAGAAGCAAAGTGTCTAGTAAGCCTGGTTTTTATTAAAGGAACTGTTGCAACAGGGTCCCCACTCACCACACGCAGGAGGGAGGAGAACCCTGAACAATGGTGCGCAAGCCCTTATATAGTCTTTTGAAATTTCCCACCCTGTAGCCAAAGACCACCACCCCTAAAACATACATACAAAGAGGTGGTCTACAGCAGAAATCCTGTCGGTCAGGATATCTGATAATGGTCATTGATTGCATTACCTGGGCAGCCTGGCCATTCTTTTGCGATGGTTAATACTTTAGTTCCTGAATCCAGGTCACAGGCTCACCCTATTCATACACAAATGTGCCCTTAAGACAGGATTTGCAAGGAAAGACAATGGGAAGGTTTTCCCCATTTGCCTCCCTTACTGCAGAGGAATATTTGAATATATCCTGTATACCTGAAGTAGTGTCTCCACCCCCATCGTTCAGCCCGGACACTGAGATCCAGCGCCGAGGGCCTTCTGGCGGTTCCCTCATTGTGAGGTTACAGGGAACCAGACAAGAGGGCCTTCTCGGTAGTGGCGCCCACCCTGTGGAACACCCTTCAGATGTGAAGGAAATAAGCAGCTACCCTATCTTTAAAAGACATCTGAAGGCAGCTCTGTTTAAGGAAGTTTTTAATATTTAATGCTGTACTGTTTTTAACACTTGATTGGGAGCCACCCAGAGTGACTTGGGAGACTCAGCCAGATGGGCGGGGTATAAATAATATATTATTATTATTATTATTATTATTATTATTATTATTATTATTATTATTATTATTTTATTATTATTATTTTTTTGAGGTCATTGGGAGAGTCAAAATGGCTTCAGGATTGCTCTCCCATACTATTTCAGACACGTAGTTCATATATTTATATATGTGTGCATTTATGAACATTTATTCTGTATCTAAGACCTTAAAATTCTCATAACATTATAAACGAACCCACCCCGCTTCTTCTATCATTTCATAATTACTGCAGCACACACCCCAGTGCTCTTCCTATTACCTAAGGGAAACAGCCTTTGCTTTTTGCTCTGTGCCCAAACATCCTCTCTGCCTTTAGATGAGCAGGACATTGAAAGAGCCACACCTAGCGGCTGGGTCCAAACATTTAGAAGTTATCAGGACATCCTCAGTGATGCTTTTCCTTCCGCCCAACTCTCCGTTCAATTGCTACTGCCACATATACACTGGAGTTTCCTTTGATGGCAGATGGTGCCTTGGAATTACCAGGTTGACGAAAGACCAGTGTATAGTTTACTTAAAAGAGGGGTGGAGAGAATAAAGCTGTAGCGACTACAACATTCAAGCGATACCTTTCCTTTTCGGCACTTTTGGTCTAGTTCTGAATGAACACGTTGGTCTCAGGCTTGGTCCATGCTGGCAACAGGCATTGGGGACGGAAATCGATTCAGCTCAAACCTGTCGAAGCAACAGTCTCTGAAACGAGAACTCGGAACACAGCTCTCCTTAAAAAATTTTACTTTTCCGAATTTTGCAATACAGTCCGAATTTTGCAATGCATTTTGCAATACAATGTATATAAAGTGCATCGGCTAGGTGGAAGTTTGCATAAGAGCATATATGTGTGTGTGTGTGTATACACACACAGACATACACACACACACACATATATAAGAAATAACATATGCAAATATATCCTAATCCAGAGAAACTGGATGCAAAAATGTGTAGTGGAAGCTGCGTCGAAAAGTGTTTATTAGGAGAAATGCGCACTAAAATGCTGAAGAGTTTTCATTTTGGGTTTGAGGGTTTGGGAGGGAATCACAAATTACTGTAGAATGTAGAAAACAGAATTTTAAGAGTGGAAAAATTGGAAATTGAAAGAACCAACATTCATAGATCCTAGCATTAGTTTGGCCAGTTCAAGAAAGAGCATACTTTATAGTATGATCTCCTTGTGTGGAAAAATCAAGACATGTAAGAGGAAATGCTTAATTCCTGACAGAGGAGATTTGAGGTGCAATTATTCTGAAGAGTTTGTCCCTGATGCTTTTATTTGCTGTTTTTATTCATCTTCTAAATTGATGCACATTTTATTGCAGTCTTTAAAAAACAAACTTTGGTGTATCACTTAGCACTAGAACCTGTTTTCAGTCGAAGGATTATGCCTCTGAGCACACACAGAATAATCACAAAGAAACTACGATAGCATCTGCGCATCTGGCACTAAGGACAGGCCTACATGGCCTCAGGATATGGTTTCCAGACAGCCTTGAGCTCAGACTCTTCTTCTAGAAATGTAAACATTTATACTGAATGTCATAAACCTAATCTACGTTTAAGAGCCTGTTATTGGGCACTTAAAGTTATTCCAACTCAGGAAATAATGTTTGAAGAGATGTTGAAAGGGGGCAATTAGGATTACAGCATCGTGTTTCTGCTTTTCTAATATTTCCAGGACAGACATGACCATTATAGAGGACGCTGCTTATTTTATGCCCTTCAAGAATACCCTAAACACTTCTTAAAATATGTACCATACTGCTGGTTTAATCCTTGTTCCCATTTCCTCAGGAGCTGTAGTTCGGTGGATGAGGATGAGAATTCCTTACCAGAATTCTCAGATACCTTGCAAGTGGTCTGAAATGCAAATATAGTAGACTATGTAGCTGAGCTGTGAATCAAAAGTCCTTGCTTTTAATCTTACCTTTGCTGTGAACTCACTAGCTGGCCTTAGACAAGGAGCTAGTCCTCCTCCTCATTCTCAACCTTCTCCCCACCAGCAATCTGGGATTTACTAATACTGCTGATTTCAACTGCTTAAACAATCAACATATTCTAAAGCAGGTGTAATGCTGGTATTCTGCAGAGGCAATTGTAATAATAACGTCTTCTCTTTGTTCTGAATATTGCAGAATATACAGAGCGCATCTGATTAAGTAAGTAAGGCAACTCCCATCTCCTAGATAACTGGTCCCTAAAATTATCCAACCTCATTTTTACAGCTGAAGTTGCACAGTATTCTCCGGTATGGTGAGACATTTACTGTATTTACAGTAATTACTTCTAAATTTGCATTTATCAGTCTAAAGAAGTGTTTCCCAAACTTGGGTCTCGAGCTGTTTTTGGACTACAACTCCCATTATACCTAGGTAGCAGCACCAACGGTCAGGGATGATGGGAATTGCAGTCCCAAAACAGCAGGCGACGCAAGTTTGGGAAACACTGGTCTAAAGTAACATATGCAAAATTTATGTAAATCAGTGTTCTTTTTTTGTCCTCTAATTCCGCTGATGCTTCCCCCCTTTTTTTGAAATCTGTAAGTGGCCATCCAAATTCAATGGCATAACCACACTTCAGCTGACTTGACTATTCATATAAACAAGTGCCAAACGACTGAGGCTTTGCTTTTCCTGTAATGTGGATTAGCCCAGCAGATGATGTGGAGAATGCTAAATCCCCTTTCCAATGAAACCCCACTAATTTAATTATTCAAGGATCGTAACACAGCATTATTGAGATGCGCTTGGAAAGAGACATGGGTTACCTCCAAAAGTCATCTATGAGGAATTTCTCGCGCAGCTTCCAGCAATGGAACAATCCAGTGAAATAATGTAATAAATTGATTGCGTGTCACATAAAACCCAAAACTCATTCAGGTTTAAATAATTTCATTAGCTTTGCTTTGGGGGAATAATGCAAATTTACTGCTGAAGGAAAATTAGAAGTGGGGGCTGGGGAGATACTGGAGCAATTAACACAAGAACTTGGAGCAGATCTCTTCTAGTAGTGTGTTCACATTACTGCCTCAGAGTGCAGTGAAGTTGTTCCCCTACCATCCAAATTTTATAGCACTTTCCCCCACCCCACCAGTTGCTCACATCAACAGTCACAAAACCAACCAGTGCAGCAAATCACACAGTTTGAAGTTGGAGTTAACTCTTTATTAGCAAAACCACTATCTCCACAGACTTGGTGGAGTGTCAGGACTAATGAGCACAGCAGCTCATTCCCCATAGGTCTTACTCCATGAAATCAGTTGCCACACTGAAGGTTCCTGCCTCCCCACAGCAGTCTCTGCCACCTCCTCCCCAGAGCTTTTTCTAAGCAATCGGAGACTACGCCTGTGTATCTGACTTTGCTCCTCTCGTTTCATGCTGTCAGGATCCAGAGTCAGGTGGAGGTCCGCAATGGAAAAACCTGGTGTCAGTAAAGTTAACTCTTTATTCAAAGAAACCAAAACAGTGCAGGCCTAGTGATTCCAGCAACTCTTCCCAGTAGGTCTTGACCCCAATGAGGCAGTTGTGAGGGCAGAAGGTCCTCTCCTCTTCAGGGTTCTTTCCAAGCAGGCAGAGACTGCGCCTGCACACAACAAATCTCTCCTCTGCTCTTTTCATTTCACTGTGTGTTCTG